GTCTGTTTCTATAAAGTGGGGCAATTCCAACTTTGCAAGGACACTCTGGCGCTTCTGACTCACAGCCTTTTTTTTTTTTTTACAAAGTCTTGAACTAGAACAGGCTCTCATACTAGGTTGTTCGAAAAATACATTATTTACTGGTTTTGTCTCGTGCCGGGACATGGCATCACAGTATAGTAGGGGCGTAACATTTCAATCACACGCTTGAGGTATTCCGCCAATCACAATGCACTGGATAGCTGGCCAATCAGCGCACACCTCGCTTTTCAGACCGATGAGCTTTGTAAAAATCGACGCGTTTCAGAAAGGCGGGGCATAGAGGAGAAACAATAATGTACATTATGTGGAAAATAATGTGTTTTTTTAACCTTAAACCGCATAAACACATTGCATTACACCAAATACACCAAATAATGTTCTTTTTAGCAACGTCATATGACCCCTTTAACTGCATAGAAAAGAGTACAGTATGTTTTTCAAAGTTTCTCCTTTTTCATTCCACGGAAGAAAGAAAGTCCAATTGTTTTGCAATGACATGAGGGTGAGTAAATGACAACAGTGTTCATTTTTTGGAGAACCTCTTTAACCATAATTGGTTTGATTGCGCATGTACACACAGCATTTTTCCATCATTCCGATTCAGTACATTTCATTTTTAGTGCATTTCAGACTGTATCACGGCTTGCCGGGTGATTTGTTCCTTGCTGACTGTGATCTGTTTGAAGCATGACCGAACATCAAGAACCTCTTGTAAGCTGAACATGTCTCTCTCTTTCTTTTCCTTTTGAAGACGGCACGCTTCTTTGCCCCTCGATGCCACAGATAACCTTGGCAACTTTATTGTGCCGCTGTGTCGAAGAAGTTACCCCTGTCGCAAATGGAAGTCTGCATCTCTTGGGTAAATGGAAGGGTTTGATATTCGCTTGCTAATATCTCAGAGCTGCTGCATGGACTAACTTCTATCTCATTCTCCACACATATTGGTGGCCTGGTGTCAAGTTATGCAAATTGTCATGCTCCCATCATTGCTCAAAAATGCACATCCGTGTTCTTTTAATAGATGTGTCTGCCATGACTGGGCCAGAGCAGTGCTGTAATGCTCCTCCCTCTTTGTGGCTTCTGTGAAAGCGGACCTCCTATGTCTGATGGTGCACTCAGATAGAAAATGAAGAAACACATAGATTCCTCCTGCTGTGGAGCAGTAGGATGTCGTGCTGCTGATTGTGTGACATGTTGTATGATGCAAGGTTTTACTGTCAAGTTAGATGGACGAGCTTAGAGTGAAAATTTGAAAGTCGTCTTTTTTGTTTTTTTAACACCACATTGTTCAGTTTCTGCCCACTGTCCATGCTGGCTGAATAACAGTCCTGAGTGAACGGAGTTAAATTAGCAATTACCATGTTTTCAATGTAAAAAGAAGTCAAAAATATTTTATATGTCTGTATTATATATATTTAAATATATAAATATAAAACATATAAATATAAAACACATTTAAATAAAATATTTATAATAAAAATAATGCAGAATATATTTTCATGTCTGCTATGAAGTATTTATAGTCGATACATTTTCTCAATTCAATTGCTGTTGGCAGGTATTGCAAAATGTTAGTTTTTGACTTTGTCTGCAGTCACTTTAGGAGTCTTATTTTATTTAATTTTTTTAATATTTAAATTTTTTAAACAGTGTATAAATCTAATGGCATCAACGTTTTTGTTTACATAATATATGTGTGTGTACTGTGTATATTTATTATGTATATATAATATATAAAATCCGGCAAAGGGTAAGTATCGCTTTTTATTTCTCCTCTTTCCTATTATTTGTTTCACTTCTGTTTCAATTTTTATAACCATTTCTTACTATGTGTCAGTAAGTTGTTGTTATTTAGCATGTAAGTTTGACAGTGTTATTTTTTTAGGATTACTGATAAACTCATCGTTAAGTCATTTGATTTGTATTATTTGTATTTGTTATTTATTTTAATTTTAGTTAAATTATGTCTGAGTTTAT